AATACTTCTGCTATTTGCTTAAGTAAGAATCCTATTTTACATTCTAGAGCTAAGCATATAGAAATAAAACATCACTTCATTAGGGACTATATTCAGAAAGGTATTTTGAACTTAAAATTTATAGATACAGACCATCAATGGGCTGATATCTTTACTAAACCCCTTTCAGAAGATAGGTTTAATTTCATTCTGAAACATCTCAGCATGAAAGTGTGTCCAGAGTGAAAATGTTTTAATTCCATATATTTACTTTCAGAATGTAATTATTTTACTGTGAACTTCTGATCAATCTCCTTTCAGAAAGATAGAACATGCAGATTGTATCAGATGCAAGTCTAAAGATCTGAGAGTCTAAGCTCAAAAACAGACGTGCTGATCACTACATCAAACAAGTGTCATCCAATCATCTGCATATCTCTGAAGCAGAATGCGTGCACGCTTTTGAGAAGGCAAAGCGCTGATTGGGTGCATTGAGACACATGTCTGGTAACCGTTTTTAAGTATCTTTCTCAAATCCCCCAAAATCAGCAAGCATTTAATGAAAAGTAATCATGCTTTTAAATGGCAATCATGATTTTTCTCTCTCTTAAAAACGTTTATCTTTTCAAAATAGTTTTGAAAAACTCTATTTAAGCACATTAATCTCTCATTCTTATTCTTTACGCTTTCTCACTATCACTCAAGCATTTTCTGCATATTTCTGAGTTCATCCCTTGCAAACTTTTTTCCTCAGTTCATTCTCAAAACCCTTTTAGTGTGAACATGGCAACCTCCAGTAGCGTTTCTGCAGGTAATCAGAAGAAAGCATCATCTGAGCAATATCAAGTGCCACTCAGAACTCTCCTCACTCCGGTGAAGAACCTTGAAGTGCTCTCTGAGTTAATCATTGATTTTGAAAGCTTGAAGGAGAATGGTTTTGACCTAACTGAAGAAGTTAGGGCTCAAAAGTGGGAAAGGTATTTCGATAGGTTGGTTGGACTAACATTCCCAGCGCTGGTCAAGGAATTTTGGATTCACGCCAAAGTTTCAAAACATCTAGTCATCTCCTCTGTTATGGGGAAGAAGATTGTGATTTCTGAAGATCTCATTGCAAGGCTAATCGGTCAAAGTGGTGGTGGCGTCCGTTGTGTGGACATGGCTGAAAGATGTGCTGATACAAGTGTGGTAGCTAACAGGATTTTCACTCTGGGGATGCCCAGCAGCAAGATTAAGGATCTGAAGGATCATTGCAGAGTATGGGATAAGATTGTTCTGGGGTGCTTCAACCACAGGAAACCAACAAGTTCTCATGATTATATAAATGTGGATCAGCAGTTTCTGATCTACTTTATTGATCAGAAGATAAAGATCAATCTGGCTCACTTCCTGTTCAACCATCTCAAAACCAGTGTGAAAGAAACAAGGGAAGAAGAAAGAACCAAGAGGGACTGGATACCGTTTGGAAGGCTGATATCAGATATTCTGACAGAGAATAGGCTGATTGAGCATCTGATAGAAGCTCAAGAGCTGAGCACTATTGAACCAATAATTGGGAAACCTCTGAACGCAAAGAATCTGAAAAAGATGAAGCTGATAGAAAATATTCAGAAGGAACCCAGAGCTACTTCCACTGCTGATATCTCCAGCAGAAGAGTGCCTCTGAGTGATTTTCCGATATTTTCTGAAATGGAATCCAAACCAGAGATGTTTCTCAGGTACCCAGATGCGTACAAGGCAGATGATACAGATCCAAAGCTGAATATCAGAGATCTGCGTCAACCCCAACCAGAAGTGACTCTGAAGAAGACAAAGAAGAGGAAAGCGCCATCAGAAGGATCATCTCAGCAGACTCCAAAGAAAAGAGGTATTTCATCTGCTGCCCCTATTTCAAATTCTTTTACTATTCCAGCATCTATCCCTCCTCAAACCTCTCATAGAATATCAATTCCCATCCCTACCATTGATGAAACCATACAAGAAGAAGACCCTTCTGAGGCATTAAAACTCAGAAGACCTAGAACCAAACAACCCAAACAACCAACAGTTTCAACAACAACAGCACTTGACCAAGTGTTGGCTGATATTGAGCGTCAACATGCCTCTGCTCAACCAAACTCTGAACCACAAAATGTTCCTCCTCCACAACCAGAACCACAACAACAACCAGAACCAGAACAACAACAACCACTCTCAGAAGAACCTCTGATCCCTGAGCAATCAGAGATTCCACCTCCCTCTCCCCAACCAGAAATTAATCCACCTTCACCACTTCAATCTGACCCTCACTCACCTCAACCATCACCGCTGGCAATTCAGTTGCCATGTGGAACCACTGTTATCATGCCCCAGTTACCATCCTCATCAGAATCGACACCACCAAAGACTCCCAAAACACCACCCACTCCAATTGAAATATCTGATTCTGATACCCCTTCTCCAAAACAAACAGCCTCTCAGAAAACCTTTGAAAACCCCAGCAGGACTTTCATTGACTTAACCAGTCTTGACCGTCTTGCTGATCTAAAACACAAAATTGCCATCCCAAAACCAAAGCAACCAGATGTTGGCTCTGGTATTTTGAATTTTGAAACAGGTGTGCTGCAATGGATTGCTTCTTTGAAGCAAGTCTGTCCTGGGATGATTGACCCAGCTGCTTCTGATCAGCTCTGGTCACAGTTCAGACGTTGGGTACGTGCTGAAGCCCTCAAGTTGCAGGATATCAACTATGAGCAGGCACAACAAAATTTCAGCAAACTTCTGAATGAAGCTGGAAGTATGCTTCTGAAAGAGGACGTGCTCCCTCTGGACAGTGAACCTTTGTCTGAGAAACAGCAAGCTGCAAAGGTGCAACCATCAGAAGAAGACAAGACCATTCAGGCTGAAAGTCAAGCAGATGATGTTGCTGAAAGTTCTGAGAAGCCTCCTCCTTCTGATGCTTCTCAAGCTGCCTTGGACAGGCAGACTCTGGAAGAACTAAGGCTGAATGACATGCGTCTGCAGCAGCGGATGGATGAAAACGATCAGAAGATGAAAGAGAGAATGGATGTGCAGGACAACAAGATTGACACTGTTGTCAGCATGGTGCATAAGCAAAATGAAACTTCTGAAAAGATTCAAGCCATGCTGGAGAGCCTGTTCACACGCTTGCCTCCTCAACCTTAATCTTTTTCATACATGACCTTTTTTTTATGTTTTCCCTGATTTTCTGATGTACTGTTTGATTATGTTTTGTAATATTTCCTCGTTTTGATTCTGAACTATATTAATATCATTAGTTTTTCTGATCTTAATTGTTTTAGCACATCACCAACACTTTTTGATTGCTGACAAAAAGGGGGAGAACAAGAATGATATTTAAATCAATAACGGCTAACTAGACAGAAGTTCTCAAACATTCTAACTTTATTCTTGAAATGTTTTTTCTGTTTTGTTTAAAGTCTACAGGCACAAGGAAGCTCCTGGACACTCTGAAGACTAGAAGCTCTGATCAATGTTGCTCTGATCAATATGAAGTTCTGATCGTCCTAATACTCTGATCCAAAGCAAAGCTCTGACAAGAAAAGCTCTGAAGCTCTGCTCTGACATAAAGCTTCTGATAAGTCAAAGACTCTGATACTCTGATGTTCAAAGAAAGGCAAAAAGATCTGATCCTGAAGAACACGTATAATCAAAGGGAAGTAATAAACTCAGGGGGAGTATTTCCTTACTCCTTATTCTTTTACTTCTTATTCTGATACATATTCCAGATACCTTTTCACGTTATTTTCATTTAAAATATCTAGTTTTTGTCATCATCAAAAAGGGGGAGATTGTTAGAACAATGTTTGAATCTACTACCCTATATTTAAGTTTTGATGATAACAAAGTGAAAAGATATAGTATTTATAAGTTTCATGTTTGAACTATCTGCTGCCTAAAATTATTATGTTCTGACTTGCAGATACGCTGAGTGAAATAAGCAAGATCACATCTATTCAGCATCAGAACTTGATTTCAGACACCAGCATCAGAAGTTGCTACATCAGAACGTCAAAATCAGATGATCAACTCACGTACATGCTGAAGCCTGATGAACAAGACTGCGCTTAATACTCTGATACAGAAACACAATAGTTCATCAGCAGCGAAGCAGAATCAGAATGAGCCAAGCCAGAACTTGCATTAAGTAAGCAACGGTACTGTGCATTGAAAGCAAATTAATTCCAACGGCTTCATTCCAGACAAGATCTGCTCAATAAGGAAAGTTTGTTATTAGCATTGAATCAAGAATATTGCATCCAACGTTCATCATCCCAATGCTATATAAACAAGGCTTTGAAGATTGAAATGGTTAATGCTCTCAAAAATCTCTACACGCACAAAAGCTGAACCATAATCTTCGTTCTACCAGTTTTGCTAAACCATACACTCTGATATTCCATTACTGTTTAGCAATCTAGTTTCTAAGCTTCAATTTGTGTATACATCACAGTTGTGATACAGTTTTGTAGAAAACATCCACACACATTGTTTTATCTCTTTGTAAGAAAGTGTTACCTTGACAAACCGGGTTGTGGTTTGAATCAAGAAGGCTTTAGCAGTTGTTAAAGCAGTCTGTAATATTCAGTTGAATATAGTGGATTAAGACCTCGTTGGAGAGAGGCGAAATCACCTTGACGGGTGGACTGGAGTAGTTTGAGATCAAACGAACCAGGATAAAAATATCTTGTCAATTGCTTTAGATTTCAGTTTTTACAATTCAACCCCCCCTTCTTGTGTTTTTCACCACTTCATAAAACCCTAACTTCATTTGAACCATGATACTATTAATGTGATCTGTATCCATACACCAATGGCATTGTCTGGAACGAAATATCAGCCACTAAGCTAGATTCCTTCAATTTAAAGACTGCTTTGTTCTATGACTTTCCGGGCATGCCTTGTGATTATTTTCTTGTTTCATAATTTTCTTTAAGTGATAATTTTATTTTTGCTTAATTTTAACATAAGTCCCTTTCCTTTTTTTGTTTACTCTGTCACAGATGTATTTGTCAGGTTAAATTAAGCTCGGAAAGACGTAGGTTTGCATGGTCAGTTGTGTCGATTCTGAGGCGATGATGATATTCATATTGAACCCTAAATCTATCCTGTCAGGCAGTGGGCATAATATAATGGTTACATAATGTTAAAGCTCTTGTGGTTGACCATAGTAGCAAAGGTTTTTATTTACCTTTTATTATGTTCATTTTTATCTTTAAATTATGCTACAACGCGATATGTACATATGTGTTGTAGATGAGTTTGGGAATATGTTACTTTGTTCTCAAAGGTAGTCTGATTATTAGACAATATCAACTTAAAATGATAGAAAAGTTTGTGTTGTTTGTGATGATGATTTTCACCGATTTTTATTCAGATAAAAATGTCGTTGGTAGTCTGATTAATGTTGAATTCTATCTATTTTTTACTCATCTTTGAATATTTATACTTGGAAGCCTTAGATTCCTAATTTGTTAGTTTTTCTTTCATGACTGTGAGTATTGTTGTATAATGTTAATTTGTTTCATCAATTGTTGCATCCCAAAGGTGTTATGCTGCTTTATATTTTATAGATTTGGGATGATAAACTTGGAATTATATGATTTCATCTCTTTTCATGCATGAATTATAGGGTGGAAACCAGATGGTTCAAGAAGGTGCTTTGACAGCATTAGCATCTGTTGCTGATTCTTCACAGGTGCTTTATATAACAATTCTTCTGTATTGGAATCACATTGTTTTTAAGTCTTTTAATAAATTTAAATCTCATGTCAACATGAGAAATTTCAGAAGTATTATGATGCTGTAACCCCATATCTAAAAGCTATTTTATTGAATGCAAATGATAAATCTAATCGTATGCTTCGTGCCAAAGCAATGGAGTGTATTAGTTTGGTAGGAATGGCTATTGGAAAGGAGAAGTTCAGGGATGATGCCAAGCAGGTGATTTAAATTTATTTTAGCATGTTTTTTGTTTATTTTTTTATCCAAATAGTTTTTATATCTTATTTCATACAATCTGATTGTTATTCACTTTTTGTGTGCTAATGTATGGTTTTCATTCTTCATTGACTAGGTCATGGATGTCTTGATGTCACTGCAACAATCTCAACTGGATGCTGATGATCCAACTGCAAGTTACATGTTACAAGTATGATCCTTTTTTTTCCTTCCATTTGTTGACATCAACTTTGGATCATATATTTATATATTCTCTTGTTATGGTTTAAATACATTTATACCTCAGATTTTCACTTGGATTATATATTCTCAGGCATGGGCACGACTTTGCAAGTGCCTTGGGCAGGATTTTCTCCCATACATGGGATTTGTCATGCCTCCCTTGCTTCAATCTGCACAACTTAAGCCTGATGTGACAATTACATCAACAGATTCTGACGCCGAGTTTGATGAAGAGGATGACAGGTGTCCTTCTGGTTCTGGTTACTGTATTTTGGGTCACAAAAGATTTATATCCATGATGTGTTTCTGGATCCATTTTAATCTTCATTTCACTTCATTATGCATTCCTTTCTTTTGTTTCAGTTTTTACTTTTTACTACTGCCTTTATTTTAAACAATGTTTTTGGCCATTTGAGTAAATGTGAGCTGCATTTTGCCCCTTTAATTAATTTATATTTATATGGGGATATCCTTGTATTATTTTGACGCATTTAAAGTTAAATTTTATGAGTATTATTTTAAAGATTATTATTTTAATACATTTTTTTAGGGATTGGAATCACCCGCTGATGGTAGACGTTCATCTGAGTCTAGCTACCGTATTGGAGATAATGGAACTTCAGGGGGGACAAATTAGACTTTGCTATGATCGAGATAATTAGATTGTGAACTTTCTCATGTATTTTTGGCATAATGATACTTATTATTATAAGATTAGGAATTGATATATTTTGGGTTTTTTGTACTACTTGACATGATTATGGAACTCGCATTTTACATGATTATGGAACACACATTTTTTTGGATATTATAATGCTTATTTGATGTTAAATATTTTTTATTGAAATTATTTTTACTATATTACAAAGTGATAGAAAATAAAACAAAAAATAATACTATAAATAAATATATTAAAGAAGAAATAATTTAAAGAAAAAAATAACACAAAAAAAAACTATATTTAAAATTTTTTACATAGATAATAATTTAAATAAAAAAAATATATAATAGAAAAATAAAAAAAAATCAAGACATAAACAAAAGTCATAGCGACAGTAGCGAACCGTCGTAATCAACAATTAAAAATAATCAACAAAAGTCATGACGGTATCGAACCGTCGCCATAAACAATTTAATCAATTTCAAAAGATATTCACGACAGTATCGAACCGTCGCCATCAATAATTAAAAGAAACTCAAAAGATAGTCACGACGGTATCAACCCGTCGTAAACTTGAACGACAGTTTTTGTAACCGTCGCGAAATAGGTTGGGGACACACACTTCTGCGACGGTAAAGCAACCGTCGTGGAAAGCAAATTGCGACGGTTTTAACCGTCGTAATCTACAAAAATACCTGTCGCAATCTGCCAATTTTCTTGTAGTGGTTTGGAGTGTATCTGTATTGTATCTGAATCTGAAATCTGAATAAGCGACAGAATGACATCAGTGTCTGGAGCATCTCTGGGTTGGGGATAAAGTCAGAATAAATGACAGAATGGCAACCGTGTATGGAGCGTATCTGGACTGTATCTGAAGTTGAGATCTTTATGAGTAGAAGAATGACTTCCGTGTCTGGAGTGTATCTGAAATGTAACTGGGATCTGAATAAGTGACAGAATGACTTCCGTGTCTGGAGTGTATCTGAACTTGAAATTGATAGTCGAATCTAAATGAGAAATAGAATGGCTTCCGTGTCTGGAGCGTATCTAATCTGTATCTTATTGCTGAAGTCCGAATGAGTGACAGAATGGCATCCGTGTCTGGAGCGTATCCGTAATGTATCTGAATAAGAGATCTGAATGAGTAACAGAATGACTTCCGTGTCTGGAGTGTATCTGTACTGTATCTGAAGTGGAGATCTGTATGAGTAGCAGAATGACTTCCGTGTCTGGAGTGTATCTGAACTGTAACTGGGATCTGAATAAGTGAAAGATAATTGTTAATCTTATCCTGAAAAGGGTAAAATGTTAGCTGAAACACAAAGTTATGTTGCATGAAATGTATGATGCAATAAAATGTGCTTTATCAATGTTTATGATATATGTAATGTAAGCTGATTTGCTGTATTGCTGAGGAAAATAAATCCTTGATAGCTGGGGATAATGAAATCTTTGACCGCTGCCGGGGAAAATAAATCCTTGATCGATGCTGGAGATTCAAAATCTTTGATTACTGAGGATGAAAAATCCTTGTTGACTGTTGGGGATGATAAAATCTTCGACTGCTGCCGGGGAAAATAAATCCTTGACCGCTTCTGTGGGGATGTGAGAATCCTTCACGACTTTCCTGGGGATATAAGGATCCTTCAAGTCTTGAGAAACCTGCTTGGGGAATCCAGAGAACTTTGAAGACTTCTACTTAGGGTTAAATAATGGGAATTCTTACTCGGCTGGGGAATAGGGAAAACTCTGGCGATCTCTACCGGGGATCAAACAAAGGAAAACCTTGATCTGTTGGAGAATAAGGAAGACTCTGATGGCTTTTGCGGGGAATTAAGAATGAGAATCTTCAATCTGCTAGGGGAATTTGAATCCTTGGGGATTTCAAGCTGGGGAGTTAAGAATGAGAATCTTCATTCTGTTGGGGAGTAAAAACTCTGTGAGGAAGAAGGCTTTACTACTGGAGAGTAAGTGAAAACTCTGGGGGAGTAGCTATACTGCTGGGGAGATCAGGAGCTTGGGTTGTATGCCAAACTACTGGGGAATTATCCTAGTTTAGGGATAAGACAGAAGTTAACTGTTATCTGGTTGATTCTCAGACTTTAAGACAACTTGCTGGGGAAATTGGGGAAAACCGAATGGTTTCCGCTGGGGATTGATAGTTGGAAATTTGACTTGACCGGGGAAGAAGGTTTCATCTCCACTGAGGGTCTGTAGTTCAAAGTTTTTGCTCCGCTGGGGATTGGGAGTTTGAAGACTTAACTCTGATGGGAATTAAAGGTTTGAAATATAACTCCGCCGGGGATTTGGAGTTTGAAGTTTTAACTCTGGCGGGGATTTTGAAATTTAATTCCGCTGGGGAATTAGATGATGTACTGCAGGGGATTTCTCTTGAAATAGCCTAAAGACGTCTTCTTATACTTTCAACCTGTCAGTAATTATCCTTCCCCATTTCGTTTATTTGTAGACATGTGATTATATTCAAATGCATATGCTTATTAATAAATCATTGGACATTTTCAAATAAAAACACAAGTGTAAAAAGACAAATAGTTTTCTGCACTTTGAAGTATCTTTGTATTAACTTTGTGTAAGTATTTTTTACAAAGGAGACAGACATCCTAGTAAGAGAATGTTGTCATAAAAATGAGAAAAATTTATACAAAGAAAGATGGCTATGTGTGAAAATTCCATGGGGTTCCCATTCTGCTATAGCCTTCGTAACTCTGAATATCTTGTCCATTCGTTGCTTCGTCCGAAGATGATTGAGTTGATCAGAAGCCCGGAGCTTGTCTGTGAAAAGATTGTCCTTAAAGTGATCCGACGAGACATAGTGATACGCTTTAATTCCCTAACTTTTTCCTAGACCGCCCTTTCGAGTTTTCAGTCCACCAGGAAACCCTTTTTTGCCCAAGTCGCCCTTTCAGGTTTTCAACTTGCCGGGTGTACAAATTTTTTTTGTTTATCCCTAATTTTTGCCTGAACCGCCCTTTCGGTTTTTTGATTCACCGGGATGCCCTTTTTTGCCCAAGTCGCCCTTTCGGGTTTTCAACCTGTCGGGTCATTTATGCGTAGTATCTTTTGACTATGTCTGCGTTCGCAGGGTGCGGCAGGTCATCATCGTCCATGGTGGTTAGAATCATTTCCCCACCAGAAAATATGCTTTTGATGACAAATGGTCC